TATTATGGTAATGGTAGGTACGAGTGATAAATGCTGCTCGTTAATGTTGTAATTGGGTTTGTTTGAGTTAAATAAGAATTTCGTATGTGATAATTAGACTCAGAACTATTACTAATTTGAGTTAAATTATACGATCAAAATTTAATTTCTTCTATTTTTTACATTCCTTGTTCAAATTTATGGTTTCGACAATTGTGGCACCGTACCTACTAATGCTTAGTTGGACCATACGTATTTTCAGTTCAAACATTTGAAAGGAAAAAAAAAAGGAAAAATTGGAAGAAAAAGATTTAGATTTTCAAAAATTGTTTGGTAGAAATTTGATTTACTAATACTTAAAGTTTTGTAAAGATCCAATATCTGTTAGGAGTTTTTAGTATTGTTAGAGTTATCGTACGGAACTTTGACGACAAGAAGACCACTAAGTCTACAGTAATGTTTAAGGTCGAACGTTGACTCTTTAACTTTAACCTTTAGAAGGTCAATGCCAGATGCTCATGTTTCTCTACTACTCCACTATACTACAAAGTTCAGAAGGGTTTTCTAAAAGAAACATCTATTTTTGGTAGATTTTGATACGTATGCTTTTGGCACTCGCTTCGTTTGTCTTAACTAAAGTTCAATTTATTTTTCCAATTCAAAATTAAATCCTAGTCGAGTTAATGGTGAGATCGATTTTTTGTTCGACGTTCAAGAAGAAGGAGAAGATTGCCCAATGGTGCTTTTATAGCTAAAAGAGGGAAGTATAAGGCAAATAACTTTCACTAGATTCTTTTATAGCTACTAAGAATATAGCATTAAAGGACAAATTGCAGCAATACTAGTAAACGTTTGAATTATTATTTTATCCTTTCTTACGCGGTATTCGTTATTCACTTTGAGGTCCTGACTAATTCGAATTTGCGTTGCGATTAGCTCATTAAAAGGGAACCGCTCTTTATAAGAAACTTTTTCATTCTCTGGCTCAAACTCGAGATGTCTGATTAACAGTGAAAGAATCTTATTCATCCCACCATAACCTTTGGTGGTAAAGTCAAATTATTATACATATATTTCAAAAGGAGAACACTAGTACTTTATATTCCAAATGTGTGGAGCAAAGAATTTTACGAAGAGAACTCCCAAGGAATGGGAACTATGTCCATTTCGATAGCAGTACACAATAGCAAGCTGGCTTTTTAATGATATGGTACTGTGGAATCATAAACTTCATTTTTAGTGGATGAAGATAAATTCGTTGGGGATTCAACTTGTGGAAATATCTCAAGGACAAGTCAATCCATTACGAGTGATAGAAATTGAACTAAGGATAATTGAGAATATGCTGCACACGATGATATTTTTCCTTGGGGCTTGGTGGCCTTTAGACTAAGTAACAAATACAGCCAGCATTTTATTGAAAGCAACTTCTCTCTCACACACAAACACATATATGTGTGCCATGATGGAGGGCGCACTGACGAGGGCAGACCAAGCAAGACTGACAGATTTATAGGCTGACAAACTTATGAAGAAGGGGTGTGTGTCACCGTAGGCGAATCTCACATCGAAATTGGGAGATGAAAGTGAAGAGCTATATAAGACATAATACAAGTTCACATGATATACGCGCTTTTGGGGCTCGATGTGGCGTAACCTGAAAGATGAGTGTATGGGTCCAAATTTGGCAACCACGACCATTACCGAGTAGGACGAGGAACGAGGTTATCATGATGCACCGTCTGATGGTCGTCGTGGTGAAAGGGACGACTGAGGGCGGTCAGTCGATGCATAACGTCCACGATAGTGTAAATTTAGTGAGAGACAGTAAGAATATGCTTTTCAAATATTCTCTATGTTGTACGTTTTAGGGTTTTTGGGAGATGGTCCCTTATAAAGAAAAAGGGTAAGTAAAGAACAGGGAGGAGGAAAGAAAGACAAAATAACACTTTATAAAAGAATCATATGAGATTGAATGAAAAAGCAATCTTGTTCATCGGAGAAGATCCTAAGATTTCCCAATCATCTCACATTTATTCTCCCTTACACCACTCGCATCTGTGACGGTTCTATTGTGCAATTAAGTCTTCATATTTGTGAGCATTTGTCGATTTGAATAGACTCATTATATCATTCATCTTGTTTACTCCTTCCATCATTTGATCTAGGTTTTATTGTGCTTGACTAAGATTGACCTCATCATTATTATCAATTATCTTAATCGAAAAGGTTTTGACATCTTTTGGTCAAACAATTTGAAGCCGTCTGTGGGGACTTCTTCAGTTTAGATTGCAATTTCATCTAGATCATAGAAAGGGATAGTCACCTCTTCCTAGCTTTGCACAAACTAATAATGGCAGGGACAGGAGATGCAAGGTTAAAAGCAATAGTAGGTGTCACAACCAACATCCTGAACACCATCAACGAAGATAGCTGGGAAGATAACAAAAACGGGACACCAAACACCACACCCAGGGGAGATGCTTCACCTCCCCCGCACGAAAGCGTAACTGCTTCGCGCGATAAGGAAGCCTCACATCTACAACAGGGGAGGCACCACCGGTAGTGAGAAGACTACTGGAAGAATGGCTAACAAGTACTCTGAACAATATACTTGATAAACCCGCCCAAAAGGATAACAGAGATATTGCACATGTAGATGTCACGACGATCGCTGATGAGCGAGATGTCCCCCGTACAGGTAACACTCATATTACTGTTGACGCAGGTAATGACGCGCTCACAGCTGTTTTAAAGAAAATGGAGGAGATGGAAAATGAGAATAAGGCGCTCCGTGACCAGATGAAGGAACACCAAGAAAGGGTTGACAAAATACCAGGAGCCCAAAGTTGTTGCCAGAACGGGACGTTGGTCGATTCATCGAGCAACTATACAATGAAGAAGCGGCCCCCTACGCCATTCCAAAAACCTTCAAAATGCCACCATACCTGAAGATATATGACGGTACTACCGATCCAGAAGATCATATCATCCATTACGTCACAGTCGTAAAAGGTAACGATCTTTCGAAAGAACAGGTACCATCGGCGCTACTGAAAAAGTTCGGAGAAACCCTAAAAGGGGGAGCCCTGACCTGGTACTCCCAACTACCGGCACGTTTGATAGCAGCAACGTTCGAAGAAATGGCAGACAAGTTTGTCACCGCCCATGCAGGAGCCAAAAAGGCAGAAGCCAGAGTAAACGACATATTTGCCGTTAGGCAGATGCACGGCGAGGGACTCAGGGGCTTCTTATCTCGGTTCAACAGGGTGAGAATGAGCTTGCCAAATGTGTCAGAGGGAATGGCGGTAGCAGCCTTCCAGAACGGACTAAACAGGAACGGGTCGAGAGCGACCAGAAAATTATTAAGCAGGATCATGAAATACCATCCAACCACTTGGGAAGAAATCCATAACGCATATTGCGCCGAGGTAAGATCCGACGAGGATGACCTCAACAGTCCGATCCAATGGTTGTCGTCAGTTCAAACTGAAGCGAGGAAAGATCGTCGCAACGACGGTCGAAGAGATCAGTCGGGGCCCTGTCTCGGCCGAGAAAGGCATCAGCCCTACGTCAGGACATCTATCCCGCCTCCTCCGCGGCACACGGATGCTCCTTCTCGACATGGAGCGCCACATCGACATGAGAAAGGTATGCCTCCGCTCCTATCTTCTCACAATTTTTGTGTCTCTCCTTCAGAAATAGTGTACGCACTAGAGAAACTCGGTACAAAGGTAAAATGACCGCAAAAGATGAAGTCGGACCCAAGAACTCGGAAGTCAAACGCTCTCTGCGAATTCCACCGGGAAAGGGGTCACAAAACAGAAGATTGCATAGGACTGCGGTAGGAGGTAGTGAGAATGCTAAATCAGGGACACCTGAAAGAATTGCTGAGCGATCGAGGACGGACTAATTTTGCCCGCGGATGCGAACAACCCCAGGGACCTCCAAAACCACCTTCTCCCGCTTGCATTATACAGATGATCATCGGCGGGGGCGACGACACAACAATCAATCATGTAAAGTTCACCACCACACACAAACTCAAACGGTCGATCACTCATGAACGGTATGATGACCTCAAAGATAGTATCGTCTTCGATAAGTCAGATACCGACAGTTTGTCTTTCCCTCACTACGACACTCTTGTTATCAACGTATTGCAGATGCTGATGTAAAAAGAATAATGGTAGATGACGGGAGCGACGCGTGTATTATCCATCCTCGCATCATCGTACATATGAGACTCGAAGATAAAATAATACCGCGTTGCATAACACTAAAAGGTTTTAATAATTCAGTCGAGCGGACTTCTGGAGAGATAGTGCTACCCGTCCTAGCCGGAGGAGTCACCCTGGAAACGACCACGTCATGGACCAAGATACAGCCTACAACGCTATCATAGGGCGCTCATGGATACACGCCATGCGGGTAGTCCCGTCCAGTCTCTATCAAGTAATCAAGTTTCCTAATCCATGGGGGTATTCAGTATCCGGGGCGAACAACACACCGCACATGAATACTATCGCATCGCCCAGGATTGCGCCCACACCCAACAACTAAAGGGGGCAAGTGCAGAAGCATAACAATCAGCGATGTCGGGAACTAAACTTGACGTACGGACAGACGTTATCAAGTACCCTAACATCGTGGAAGCATCCGAGTCGATAATAGAGGATCTCGATCCCATCCTACTAGACGGTAGTGATAGCACAAAAAAGGCTTATATCGGGCACAACATCTCAGAACCAGGTAAGTTTCGTAAATTCTTATTGACAATGCCGATCTGTTTGCCTTCTCCCATGCAGATATGCTAGGTATCCTGAAAGACATCGCCACGCACAACTGAATGTTGACCCCCTCTACCCGCCAGTACAGTGATAACTACGGATTCTGATGTGTCTCATGCTCCTTCTTGCTTACGCTTTGAGTATAAATTCATACAAAATAGACCCAAAAGGCTCATAAGTGTGCTTGATTGCAGGTTTGATCAACAAAGTGACGAGATGTCAAGTATCGACTCAACAAGGAGTGAAACCTGCACAAGTATCAAAGACAAAGAGAACTCAGGACAAGCTAGCCTAGTGCGGCCGCAGTCCACTTTGTGCGGTCCGCACTAGGGAGATTCAGAGAACTAGCAAATCAAGTGTTAAAGCAGTGCGGCCGCAGTGGAGATTGTGCGGTCCACACTGAAGACTCCGTGGCCGCACTACCATTCTACGCGGTCCGCGGACGCCAACTTCAGAGAGATGTCCAGAGCCTATCATCAAGCCTATGCGGTCCGCGGTCGACTCTGTGCGGACCGCGCTAGCTACCTCCGCGGCCGCGGTCCGTTCTGCGCGGTCCGCGGATCCTGAGTTTAGAGAAATAAATTTGAAGAGTCAAAAGCCTAGTGCGGCCGCAGTTCATTTTGTGCGGCCCGCACTGACCCCGCAGGGGTATTTTTGTCCAATTTTTACAGCTTAGTATAAAAAGAACATTTTTCCATTTTTAGGGTAACCAGTTATTATCAGACATTAGCTGCGCTCATGAGAAGCTAGTTTATAGCCATTTTTGGCACTTTAACATAGTTTTAGCAATTGAATATTTATCTTTACTTCAGTAATTTAATATTATGTCTTTCTCTTCATCTATTTCTCTGATTTTATCATCAAGCATGAGTAGCTAAACCCCTTAGCTAGGGTTGTGGCTCAACCCTAGTGTGGGTAATTGATGGGTGTTGTAATTTAAGGTTAGATTGATTATGGGTGTTTGCTATTTGGGTCAATTTTATGGTTTAATTTATGAATTAGTGGTTGCAAACACTAGTTTGTGCTTAGTAGACTTGGGCTCTTCTTGAGAAAGAGAGCCTAAGTCTCCAAAATTGACCCAACAAGGAATTGGGATGGACTCAAGAGATTTGATAGTCCGTCGTTTATTGGGCCTTTTGAGGTACTTAGGAGGATTGGAGAGGTGGACTACATGCTTGCCCTGCCACCCAGCTTGTCAGG